CCCCCCAAAGACTCATTTTAAACCCCACAACATGTTGGAAAAGGAAGAAGTCTCAGCACTGTTGAAAGGAAGTCCCTGTGCACAACAGCAAAAACACATTTGCTTTACAGTATCCTAAATGATGGCAAATAACTGCATCAGGCATCACATTCTATTATTCACTGGATCGATTTTTAATTAGTTATGCCATGCAGTAACCAGATTTACACAGTGGAACAAACCGGTAACTACGCTTAAAAAGTAGTCCTAAAAAGAATGACAATGCCTTAGACCAATTTGCAGAAGTTAGTAATCAAAGAAAATTGCTGGCACTATATTTGCAAAGGTTCATGACCACTAGTTTGTTAGTTCAGGTCGCTAGTCTTCCTGTTGTACGGAAGACAAACTAGCGACCAGACCAGCAGTTCAGTCCTGGAGTAGCCTCGTCTGCTGGTTTATGCTCCAACTGAAACCGATCACTAGCAACTTTAAAAAAAAATTGTATTAATACTACACCTATACAGAGCAACTGAAAGTTAGAGTTTCAGGACTACCCTCATTCTGGTGTAAAATGAATTCAACACACAGTAGTCGAAACATTGCATCACTGTAGTTGTCCAACAGCATTAGTTCATCACCCATTATGACTACCTGTTAAGAACCATTTTAGTAAGAAATAAAAACCTAATTAGCAAGTTTTAGATGCTGTAGTTCTTGGAAATAATGCACTGTACAGTATGGTATGATCTGAATCAAGAACAAAAAAAAAAATCAGCAAGCACGTTACAGGTACCAATTAGTACTGGCAATTAAGGGCCCAGATTGACAAGAACGAGCAGACGCAGGGATACTCCAGGACAAGAACTTGGAACCGCTGGCATAATCCAATAAAACCCAGGAGTATTTATGCACATGGCACAGGATTGTATACTTATAAAAAGCACAGACCTGAAGAAGGCTCCACGGCCAAAACGTTGGGTTTTTTTCCCCCTCTTTTCAGCATGGAATAAACCTTTACTTGTTCCTTAGCAGCCTACGCATGCTGACGCAGCTACTGTACCCACCCGAGCTACTTATAAAAGTACATGGATACTCCTGTGCAATATGTAGCATCCACTACCTTTCAATCGATGATGGCATGTGGCCTTGGGAAGGCACATCTGATGGTTGTATGCTCAAAGGAGTATGCATTCCTTTCTACCCGTGATAAAAGACTGCCAACTTACCAACGTTTTCATCCCCTTTTGCCAACTGTCCTTCAATGTAGTCCCTGGTGACGTGATGCAGGTGAGCAAGATAGTCAACGTCACACTGGGCCTTCCCCCAGGAGGCCACCTTGCGCCTCTTATACCTCTTCCACTGCAGGAATGTGTTGCGTAGATCCCGGTCAACGGGCTTCGGCTGCTTGAACAGCCAGTAAGTCAAGTGCCACAGGAACCTGAACCGACGGTACTCCCTGTACAGCTCCTCGAGTTCGCTGTGGTCTGTGGTGACGTAACAGAAACATGTCAATAGATGTGGAAAATCCTTTCAGAAAAAAAAAGCTCAGAGAACTAACCGTAGACTTTCTGGATGAACGAATGAATAATAGAACTATGCTTATCCACCTTCTGATAAGCATAATTTTAAACCTACAAAGCTTTTATAATTGTGGGACTTCAAAACATCATCCTAAAGGAGGTCTTACGTTTTCTGAAAACTAAGGATATAAATTAAAACAAACTTGAAGCAATATATTAAGCTTTTATCATCAGGGGATCTGAAGCCCCTCTAACAATGAAGAGAAAAATAACAGGTGGCTAGAAAGTTCACTTATTGATATTATTGCTGGACATTATTAATATTCCATAGATTTTGTCCTCAAAAGGAAAATATTCCTACAAACATGGATTATAACATCTGGGCCAAAAGGCTCAACTTGCATCGAACAGCAAGTGCTCCCATTGGTTATACCACTGCAGATTTCTTTTGCATACCAGCAGCAATTAATAAAGGTCTTTTTAACTCAACTCTACTTATAACTCAGGATTTGAGACTTCAAATGAAATAGAATTTACTTCATTTTGGTTCGAGTTTATGGCCTCACTCAACCAGCTTTGCAATTGCAACAAGTCATTTTTATTTGAGAAGAAACCTAGAATTACTCCTAAATGAATGCATGCTGAATCATTTAATAGCTTTAAATTAAGCAATAAGAAAGTTAACCTTGAGTTTGAAACCAGGATAGTCTGGAAAGTCCAATTCCCATTTGAATACTAAATGTTTCACTTACTGTGGATCCTTTATCTAAAATCAGAGCAATGATGACCAATAGAAGACATTCAGCTTTACTTACCATTTTTAATCTGTTGTTCAAGAACATGTTGTACAACATTAGCAAAACTGCCATGATGCTTTATAGCACGGTCATACAACTCTTTCCATTCAAATTTCAAAATCCCGTCCGTTTCGCCTTCTTCAGCATCCTCTGAAAAAGGGGGGAAAAAAAAAATCAGTCAAGTTGGACAGAAGCATTTTGAATGTGTCAAACATGGTTGTCAGCTAATCAATTTTAGTAAGGACTTAGTACTCTGGGATGCATTACATGAAAGGAATTGTATAAGTTACAGAAGTTCCATAGGTCTTTTAAAATACCTCTGTGAATCTGATCAGCTTCACATTAGAATGTCAGATAACGGGTGTAACATTTTAAGGTATCCAGACCTGGCACAGTTGACCTTGTCGCCATTAATACAAGTGGCACTAGGGAAAATAATTCCTTCTGCTCCCCATACTGTACGGGGAACACAGCAGACTTCAGCCATTATTAATGTGAATGTTTGTTATTTCTGTTTCACAAACAAGTTTAGAAGAATCTATATTCTTTAGAAATTTAGAAGCTATCAATGTTCACATTCTGAATGGTTCCACTGCCTGTACAGCACTGCCACGGGATTCTACTGAATGAAGGGAAAGCTCACCAGATGGAGTACTGAAGAGACCAAGCCTTGAATTTAAGAAGGGACTGTTGTCTTACAGGCATCATGGCCCATGCAGGATCCAAAGACATTAAAATGAAAGACTAATGATTCAATATACTAAATCCTTAAACCTGAAGTGTATGTTTAAGCCTTAATGTCCATGGTTAGAATGCTTAGAAATCCTGAGCTGCTAGTGTCACCAACAAGAAGAATTACAGACATTTAACACATTGCTAAAACATTAGAGATTCATTGAAAAGCTTAGGTTTAGGGGGCCTGTGCAAGCAGAATGGGGTGGCACTTCAGTCCAGCGGGCACAGGTGCAAAAGCAGTATTTAAACTCAAACTGGATAGACAAGCAGAACAGAAGTTGTAAAGGAACAAGTAATAGATTTATTCCATGCTGAAAAAAAGAAGAAAGAAAACGCAAATTTTCAGCCGTGGAGCCTTCTTTAGGTGTGAGAAAGACAAGGCAGTAAGCAAAGATAATGTAGCGGGAGAACAAAGGCTGGGAGAGAGGAGGAGGGATCATGAGACAGACAGAGAGGCCAATCAAGAGGTGTGAAATGAAACCTCCAATGAATGGAGAGCATTTAGAAGAAAAGTAGTCTGTCATAAAGAGAAAGGGGAAGGTGTGATCCTAGCTGCAGGATAATTTTGTTTCTCTGGTCTTTCTGATGTATGAGTTATGAGTAACTGAACAATAAAGAGGTTTAGAACTTGAATGTTAAAGCAGAAAACAGATCTTAGTACCACCAATTCCCTAATGCCAACATAGATGCATAAATGCAGGTATTGGTAAAGCTCATGTTATATCACTGGTAGATACCAGTTTTCAGGACATAATTTGGGATAGTGATGAGAAATACTGGATGTGTTTGAGATGGTTAATGATAACTTCTTAAACAATAGAGAGCTGGTACCGTTGCGGACTGTCAATAAGAGCAAGCCACCAGTAAAAGGGAAACGGACATAAGAGATCAACAAGCGCACAATCTGGTATATTTTGATGTCTACTATAAATTTTAAAATAACACAGGTTCCAAATACCCTAGAGATGCAGACCGTAGAAGAATGAAGTCAGGGTTTACAAGTTGTAGACAGATGAATGAGAAATAATAAAAAAAAGAGTCATGTTTCATGAAACATTCATCCTTAAAATGTACATTATGTGGGAAAATTTAAGTATCATAAATGAAAAGAAATAAGCAGAAGGAAGAGTATGCATAACAGGGCCAATGATTCAAACATTGAAAGGGTAAATCAAGCTATAGACGGTTGAAAAGGATTGCTGAGCAATGGAAAACACAGAAATCCTTGCCTGTTACAATTAATTTTTTCAGGACTACAATAGTAAAAGCAGTTATTCAAGTATAACTTACATGGAGGTTCTACAGCAGAAAAGACACCATCATTCTCTTGATATTTGTGTCCAGTCACACTTCATAAAAGGCTATAGTGTTCAAATTGTGTTGGGAATCCCATGTAATATATGCACATAAATCAAGAACTGATTTAACACCCCGGGGAGTTGTAAGCAATGGTTTGCCGCTAGGACCCATTTAATGCCCACTGCTATTCCCAATCTACATCAGCTAGATTCCTCCAAGCAGAGGACCCAGAAACGGTACTAAAAAAACAATTTAGAAAAATCATGGATTGGGCAGACATTTGACAAAAACATGCCAGAGCCTATGAAAACAAGACAAACACAAAAAAAAGCAAACCATTTTGTTATGTAGCACAAACAAATTTGAAACCAGGGGAGCACAGCTCACACTCTCTCAAGTGCTAGCAAGTCCATAAAATACCATGTTAGATTCAGTTATCATACTGCAAAAAAGGTATAATAGCCTTTAGAAACAGTTCGATGAGCAAGAAGAACAATTCTGGTTGCTAAATTTCTTCAGACCAGGAGTCTTTCATAAGTATTGCGTGCTGTGTAAACCCAGGGGAAAGATACAGTAACAGCAGTGAAATAACTGGAAACTAAAGAGAAAGAAGTTCAGATACCGAATATTTACACAAACTCTGGATATTTAGAACAAGCCTCCCCAGTTGGGAGGCTCTTCAGTTTCACCTGGACAAAATTCGAGACTCTCCTAGCTCTTAGAGAGCAGCCACTTCTCATTTGTAACTTGACATTAAGAGCCATTTGCTTCTATACAAATCTTGTGCTACAGTAAACTGTTTAACCATTTTGTAGCATCCCTAAGGATAAGAGCACAAATTAGAAAACACAAAATCCAAAACTACATACCTGGGAAAAATAGGTTTGCTGAAATATTCTAAAGGAATATGTAAATGACAATTTCCCAAAAGAAAATCCAAACCACTTGTCTACATACTGTACACTGATTAAAGGGCAAAATCATTTTGTGTGAAGCCTTCCACTGTGTGGCAGTCACAGTGCAGGGTTAGATATTTTAAAGTTTGTCAAAAGAGTATACCTTGGGAGACATTCATTTGAAAGCATAAATTCCCCCATCAAGACTTTTAATACTGTATGTATAAATCATGGTTTTAGCAGCTGGGATACTCAAGTACATGTGCTTGTTGTTTATAGCTATATTGCTCAGAAAGATTTTTACACTTGAGGAAAAACTCAAGACTCACCTCTGTGTCTCCCTTCAAGACAGTCTAATTTTAACCCCCAGATATTTTCCATTTCATAATCTGGAAGTTTTACTGGAGGCAAAGGTACCTTCTCTTCAAGCACCAGCCACTGGACCCAATATTTAGGAGTCTCACTGAACAGCTTCTTCTGGAGATGTGCATTGCAGTGCAGACTGCTATACAACACTCTCCACATGTACAGGAGGCGGAAAGCATCTTTCAAGGATATGGAATTCACAGCAGCAGTAAATGAGACCCCAAATGACACCTGTCGATAAGATTAAGGATTGTTTCAACAACGATTAGACTCTTTCACATTTTATAAACTACATATACAAATGGCTTGCAATACCGTTTCTTAAACCGCTGTGAACTAAATGTGAAAGTCCGTGAAAGCAAAGGGGCAGAACTGTTACGTCCAGGGAAAACGGCCGTGGTAGACTCACGTTTCTTCTGCAGCGCAGTACTACACCCCTGGGGAAGCCGTTTCGGCCAGGGAGTAAAAAAAAAAACGCGCTATCGTCTCTCGCAATTGCGACTTTGTACCTCAGAACTCCGAGTTTTTATCCCTCAATTGCGATTTAAAATCTCACAATTTTGACGTCACTTTTGGCGCCATCAATGGACGTAGCAAGGCCAGGTTGCTCATCTGGCAAAAGAAGCCCACCGTGGATTTATACCTTCTTGTGTCTGCTTTTGGAATGCTACGTTTAGGAATATAAATTGGAAATTAGTTTGGACAATTGCCGATAGATACGGTCTTACAAATAAAGTTAAAGAAACATGAAGATGACTTGTGTGTATTTTGAGAAAAAAAATCCTGTTACATTTGTTTGTAAATTGCATACAGTATAGTGTATACAAAATTGTTTTGGATAGATCTGCAAAATGTTATTGTTAAACATTTTAAATGTAAATATTACATCACAATCTTTAAATTAAGATTTAGATCCGATTTGGATTAAGGATATGTTATTATTAATCAGTTAATTTTGGCAAAATATTTCATCCACAAAAGTAAATGGTCTAATAATGCTCCCTCTGTTAATACTTTTAAAGTGCAATTCCTTTTTCTTTAATTTAATATTCCTTTTTTGTATTTCCGGTGTTTAAATAAAAATGTTTAAAAAAGCCCACCGCCCACTATGGAACCCTCCCTGGCGGAAATGGAATTCCATAAAAACGAATGTAATTCATTTTATCAGGGCACTTGACAAGGCAAGTCTTCAGGCCTATAGATCCTGTACGATTTATGAATCTAGTGTAAAAGAACGGCCGACATACAGGTTGTACGATCCAGTTGCAGTGGACTCAGCTGGCAAGACCCGGGTTCGAGCCAATGCAGTGAGAAACGAACTAGGGTGAGAGCGGCGAACCCGTTACAATAACCAAAGGACAGACAGTGAAATGTGGGGCATTTCGAAGTTGCAAATGTGAGATATAAAATCGGAATTCTGAGATACAAAGTCGCAATTGCGAGATACACACGCGTGTTTTTACTCCCTGGCGGAAACGGGCTTCCCTATACTACTCTAACAGCAGTGGAGAAAAAAAAAAGATCCCATAGAAGAAGTTCTGCCTTCTTTCTGGTTCTGAACACGTTACAACTTGTTAGTAACTAATAAAGCTAATGTGGAGGAAACCACATTGTGTAATGTGTAATCCCCCCAAAACCCAACGAATACAAAAAGAGCGCGTAATCTCCTCCAGGGGACTGGATAATTTTATCAACACTTAAGATACCTTCATAAATTGGAAGTCATATTCCGAAATGACCTCCGGGGTGTGCCAATAAATTCGTAACAAGGCGGGTAGATCCACACATCTCTTATGAACCCGTATGCAGTAAACGACGAAAAAATCATCTTAAAAAAACCGCATTAGAAGTTCAACCTCCAAGTTTTCCGACCTGGAAGAGCGGTCTCCAGAGGGAGCTGCAGCTGCACACCCTGAGCAGGGCCCGGCAGGTGCTCCCAGCCCTCAGCAGGGAGAAGGGGTCCAGCCGCCGGAAAATGAGGACGAGAACTTCATCGCTCAAGTCCAGTAGTCCTGGGCGAGATTTCAAACACGCTGTCTCACAGGGGCGAGTGCTGGACGCCGAAGCCGGTTCTCCATCGCCAGCCAAACCAATCATCACGGGCAGCTGCTCCCGAAGCTTCGCCTCCAGATCACTTGCCTTGAATGCCATTTCCCAGCCCTACCTGGGCGGCAGTCCTAAAGTGGACATAATATGCTCTCATGGGAAAAACCATTGGGTTTGCCAACCGGGGAACACTAAACATGAAGAACATCCCCTTCTGCGGCTCTCATGGCATTAAGATTGGCTGGTTTATTTTGTTCACGATATTTTCAGAACATCGAATAGAATCATTTTAAAAAGCATTTATTTTACGTACTGTATTATAACACTTAGTCTCTTTGACCTTGTAGTGTAATGGTCACATGAACACGGCGTCTTTTCATTTAATTTGATTCTGCACGCCTTGTTTCACCTAATCTGAAGCTGTTAAACGTCGATAATTGTTATAATGCCATGTGTTTTCAACACTTGACTTTTTTCTGTACTTCGACGTGACTTTGACTTTCCCGATTCCAGTAACAGGGTACTTTTAATATATTCCAAAGAAAACACAAAACATTTAAGTGCAATAATCATGAGCTGCTTTATAACAAAGTATTATTGATTTATTGTCGTTATGATTACTGATAATATAATGAAGCACACGCAGTTAATTATAAAGAACTGAAAACAGCGCACGGACGGGGGATGGTTCCACTTTTCTGTACATTAGGAATATTTAAGATTTAAGTTAGGCATATTACATCTATACTTTTAAATTGTCTCAATTTTCCCATGCTTTTCAGTTTTCCTGCCCTGTCTTTACACAGCAAACTCGTTCTATGTCATTCAATTTTGCACATTAGGATATTTACCAGCAAACGTACATGCATATGAGATTAGAGATTTAGAGATTTCAGTTAGGGGTATTAAGATGTACTGTAAGCATCTTTTCTTCAGTTTCTGTATCTCCTTTTCCCCATAATTTTTGGTTTTCACTTCTCGCCTTTCACTATGACACACAGAAAAGGTAAGCATCTCAGCATCTTAATACTCTTAATACTCTTTTAAGCAGTATTGTTTCCATTTTTCTTTTCGAAAATAATATATATTATTATTATTACATATTAACTAATGTACAGTAGCTTCTGAAATGTAAAGTAAACACACGCCCACATAGAAAAAATTAAATTGCCACTAAGGAGAAATGTTGAAGGTGGAACATTCCTGGGAATGTCGCCTCAGAAAATGGGTTTGTTTGAGTGATGAAACTTATTACTGTATATACTGTAGTTCTTAACATATTGTTCAGATAGTTACACGTTATATAATTAAATTATTTAATGGCTGATGTAGCATGGTAAAACTCAAGTCATTTTCCATAAATTGACTTTTTTAGTGTTAAATGTGTGCAAACTAAAACGTGTAACATTAGCCTGAACACGTTTATCGTGACAAGATGAAAGATGCTCAGAGTTAGTTTTGTTGCTTCTGAGTGACAGCCTGCTGTAGTCCTGTATGCCACGAGAGACTCAAGACGGATGCATTAGATTCTTACTATGTGGTTCAACATAGTATGTTACTATTGAAGTAGGCACTTCAATTCGGATCCTTAGGGATGATAAGTAAAGAACAAATTACCTACTTTAGTTTCAGAAAGCATTTATTTGAAAACATCATACAGGTTTAACATTACCACAGCCAATCCATTAAGAGCATGCAAATATAAAAAAAGTATATTTTTTTCACAGAAACTGTGCAGATTTTGGTTTTCTTTTTCCATTTGAAATCTTGAGTTACGTGTGCTCTATAAGGATTTCTTAACAAAAGAGAATTACCCATGGGGTACAGCATGTAAACATAACTATTTCTGAACATTCCTCGATGGTTAAATAACAAAATAAGATGCACAAATTTGTCTAAATGTTAATAGCACAATAAGTTTAAGTTACACTAGACAACATCTCTTTTAAAACTATAGTGGTGCAAAAACTGAAATGCTGTCTTTTATATAGGCAAATGCGCTTTTAAAAAAACAAAATACTGGTTGAGCTTCATTCTCCATTATTTTTCTTTATTTAGCTGGAATGTACAGTCTTACAGTTTACACCAGCATGAGGTTTTAGTTTCTTAAAATCAAAGTCTACATACAGTACACAATGGAGAGTTATCTTTCTAAGATATGTGATGCACATCTCTTTGTACTGTATACCTCATACTATACAGTACTGTGCAAAAATGACACAAAGGTTTCTTAACCAATTAGTGTTATCATGCTATTTTTAATAAATGCTACATAAATCACTTTAACACCAAATCTGTGAAAACATTGCGAAATAAGTCATTAACAATTTGATGAACATTTTATATCTTTGCTTCACTATTTCCAGTGTCTGACTGGAGAACTGCACAGCACATTTTACACTAAGTGCCATTAAAACATTTTACTTGCTTGGGTTCACTGAATTCCCATTATTTTTATCTAATTGAGCAATTCCATATGTTCTTGGTCTGAATCAAACCTTTTTAGCCCATATGCTTTCTAGTTGATTTCTAAACGCCTTTAAAACCTATTGACAATGTTTTGGATTATTATTGTGTTGGAAAATTTCAGATCAATTTTATAAAACCAAAACAGATTCAAACATTTGCACAATACTGTACTGTGTATTTGTTGAACACAATAGCCTGTTTAACATACCAAAAACCGTTTTCCTAACTTCCGAAGTTAAACACATTCATTTTCTATTGGTCATAATGAAGTGAATGTCAAATCATCTTGCTTTATTTCTGGAAACAATATAGCAAGCAACCCTTGCCCAAGACAATTGGCTGTGGAAGAACTGGACAGATGAATTTAATTTTAGAACATATAGTGCACCTGCCTACAAAGTTTCAGTTTTTTAAAGTCTTTTTTTAAATAAAGACACAGGCATGTATGGTTTTGAAAAGATGCATTCACAACGGATTCATGAAAAACTGCACTCTTGTAATATTTTTTATTAGTATGAGACTCCTAGTGAAATTTAATTTGAAATGCATATACAAGATGCTATGATAAAAAATATAAAACATAATCAAAATTTACTTGCAACTTTACCAAAGACTGCAGAATTTTGGTATCAGTACATGATGGTGTAGAATTATATGGTTGAGTTATTAGCTGGGTCTTTGAATATAAGAGATCCAATATCATCAGAGTTTTAAGAATTCTGAAGTCAAAATAAGAGCATTTGTTGTTATTATGCTCTTTAAAAAATCTCTAATAAGCCTTACAGTCAACTGCTCATACCAGAGCTTAAAAATTGTCTGAAGTGTGTTACTGTAGCATTCAAGCAGTTTTCCCATACGTCTTGATGGTTGTGACCTTATCAAATTTATGATTTAAAATTAGAATAAAGTACAACATTTCAGATCTTTTTACATTTTTTTTATTATTGAGTAACTTTGAAATGATCACTAAGCTTCTGTAATCTATTTGAGACTTACTTTCACATCCAGCTAAGTCAGTTTTTTAAATACTGCAGTAGACGGTTGCACGGTTTTCAGTAGTGTTTCTGCTATGTATTATTAATCTATACCTTCATCGAATGATGCTATCTCTCTCTTTTTGCGTCATTCTAGTTCACTGTTTCAAGGGCATGTACTGTACTTTATCTGTGGGTCTCACAATAGTTATGATGAAGAAAAAATCCTCAGCAATATGTTTTCCTTTTTGGAAACCAATAAAATACCTAAACGTTCAGTATGCAGTGTGCTTCTGGAGAACATTAACTCAGTGTGCAAAAACAGGAATGGCTGCTTCAAAAATTATATCTTAACCTTTATAACAAATGCCTTACACACAAGGCATTTGGATTCATATTTTGTTAAAAAAAATATTTCAAATGGCACATGTAAACTATCAGTAGCTTTTAACTTGTTAGTAACTATTGTATTTTAAAGAAATATATAGAAATTGTAGTTTAAGGAAATAGCCATAAAGTTGTAATTTGTGACTAAATATTTGCTAGGGATAAAAATATAACCAAACAAAACAAAGGGCACTACAAAATATAAATACAAGAAATGTATACACCACGTATTATTGAAGAATACAATAATGGAACACAGCCATGGTTATCTTCAGGTCATGGTTTGAAAAACATAAAGCCCCCACTGAATTTAGAGAAAGGAATTTCACTATAAGGAAAGAAAGAGAACTGGCTTGGTGCAGCTCATCTGGAGACTTAGTGCTGCCTTTGGTTTTCACAAGTGATCTTTTTTATATTTTTATATCAGACTGTGGCCATAACTGCTTTTTGTTTTGTTTCTGCTACTGTTGCATTCAAGTTCCATCTTTACAACTTCACTAATTTAAATGAACAAATCATTAATAGGTTTCTGAGACAGATTCAAACTCTAAAATTAACACTTTAAAAAAGAAGACAGAAGAAAGGTGATAAGGTCTTATTTTTGAGTCTGAAGATATCGTTCTAGTTCTGCACCTGTGGCATGGGATCCTTGGATATAGTCTGAGGAGAATAAGAAATATGTAACCTTGTCCCTGTCATTCTTTGAATACCATGCAACATCTTCAGGAGGTAAAAAATGTCCAAAGTGCAGTTCTCTAGATAACCCATTGGTATACCATCATGTGCAAAAGGGAAGACAACTTCAAAGACATACTGTAAAAGGATTTTAACATCCTGAAATGAATGCCCCAGTGACCTCTAACAGTTTGTCTTAAACCTCCATTTATTTGTATTCTCGTGCTTTTTTAATACTGTTGTCTATATACATTTTTAAATAAGCAACTAAAAATGCCTTCTGTTAGACAATAAATGTCATTATCCTTGCATTTATTCTTTCCCAAGTGTAGCAGGGCTCAGTGCGCCGAGTGAGTGACATCACGTCCCTCTGAACCTCGACAGCAGGTGAGACTCTGCTGAGCCTGAGGACCTGAGCCTGAGGTGTGCTGTGTGTGCAAGGAGCCTGGGATCAACGGGCAGAGCTGCACTCATCCCACAGGAACACTGCATGACCGGGAACTGTTGTCTTATAAAATGCTGAGAAAGGTGTCCATACAATTCACACTGTCAATCTGAGTAAAATAGGCATCATCTTTGCCTCCCTCAAGAGATGCTCTGCTGAACAAGATGTCTCAGCAATGCTCCATTGGCTCAGTAAGGCTCCAGGTTATATTTATTGGGAATTACTAGATGAAGGAAATATCCATGTAGTCACTGAGCCGACTTCAGTGGATCCTTTTCTATGTAAAGACTACCCCTTTTCTATGTAAGCTAAAACTACACAACCTTTCTACAAAGTAGGACAAGGTGAGAACTATATGTATGCAAACACATACATAAAATTCAAATATACCCTGTATTTGCAGTAGTGGACTCTTCAAAGAGAAACTCAGGCTGGCCCATTTTCAAAGCGGATTTTTCAAAGGAGAAAAGAGTATGAAAATATTTCTCTGACCCTTTAAAGTACATTTTACAGTTGCATCTGAGATTCTACTGGTTCTTCAGGAACACTTGTATGGTTTTGGAAAATGCACCTAATTGTAAGGTTTTCACTGATTAATCAAATAGCTTTTAAAAAGCTAGAAAATGGACATGTCTGTCTCACGCAGACAATGTCAATCATGTTGTGAGGGTTAGGGTTAGGGCAGAATTTTGTATTTACTGAAGGAGACAAAAAATAAATGTCAACACTGAATAACCATTTCCAAAACATCCACACTTTATATTTTTAAACTCAGTAATACGCATATGAGAAGCATCATTTTAAAGTTATATCAAGACATTTGAATGTCTTTTTTGATATTGGATATTGGGTTTGACCTTACATAATCATGAGGTAACATTTTGTTTTCAATTAGAATTCTGAATTAAAACAAGGTTATAATGAAGAAAAAGCACTAAAACATTTTTTTCAAGAAATGAATTTCTTAATTTAATCTACAATTTGATCTAATTTGGCAAAATATATTGAAAATGAGCAAGTCTAGACCCACTGTATAGAACTATCAGAAATTAACAGATATCACCAAGAAAACCAATATGCCATTTCTACATATAAATGGAATATGATAACATTTTTCTGCTGCTAAGATATCAAATAGTTATTAACAATGAATACTGGCTCTGCACAAATGATGTAATATTAATTCTTATTATAAGTCAGCAAATTTTGGAACTGTGTTCATGTGTACCTCCATAACAAAGTCTAAGAATAAGCAAACTTGAATTTTTGATGATTCGACACGTTAAACAGCACATCCTACAGATTTTGTCTCTAAGCCCTGACAAAGTACCTAACCAAAAATTATGAATGTTATGTTTATATATACAGCACACACACAAAATTAAGCATTTGGACACCCACAGCAAATGCTTCTATATATCATAAAAATGTCAAGAGCTTATACATATATATTTTAAAAAATGTTCATATGTCACCAGTAACTTTTCACAGTTTGTGATCACAGTGTACTTTTGTTTTTCTGCTACGTTTTGCTTTTTTCATCCAGTGAATTTCTTTCTCTACAGACAGTGAGGGTGGGGCCATGGATGATGGCAGTGACCCCGTGCTGCCCCCTCTTCCTACCCCTGCCCCAGCCCCTGCCCTGCTCAGGCCACTCTGACCCGTGGCTCCTCCTCAGTCTCCTGGCCCAGGCTGGTGTATGTGACAGATGGCTCCAGAGGCCCAGTGGTGGGGGTGTCTGTCGTTGGCCCTGAGGGATTGCGGAACTGCTTGTAGACACGAGGGTCCTGGGCCACGTAGGTGGAAGAGGAGGAGTACAGGACCAGCCCCAGGATGATGATAAAAAAAGATAGCAAGTAGAGTCCTGAAAACTGAAGAGACAGAAACACACGCAGGTCAGCAAACTATATGTAATACACAGCAAAATAAATTTAAAGGAACAAGTAAAGGTTTATTCCATGCTGAACAGAGAAGAAAAGAAACACAATATCTCGGCTCCTCCTCCTCTTTCGGTGACACCTGAAGAAGGCTTCACAGCCGAAACGTTAAAGTCAGGTTAGACCGCACTCAGGGCTCTAGTGGAGTGTTCCTGAGGGTCTCCTCCTTGGAATGTTCTCTTTGTTCCTGTGTTCCCTTGTTGCTTGTTCCCAAGCACCTGGTTCCCTGGTTGCTACCTCTGTTTCCACATTCCAGAGTTGCAGTTCCTGTGTTCGGTCTCTAGTGCTTGTTTTGGATTCCTGGCCCAGCTCTTCCTGATTCTCCTACTGGATTTCCCACACAGCATGGAACATTTACAGTATCTTGGCTTGGATCCTGGCTTGATAGACCTACTCTCATGGTTTCCCCCCAGTGATTTGGACAGTGTCTCGTCTGACCTTTCTGGCTTTGGCTTTTGCCTGCACAGCCACGAACTGGAAGAGCAATGCTTGACAGCATGCTGGCAGCCTGCGTGCGCTGCTCAGACAGTCCCTCTCCAGTTAGCACGCATGCCTGTACAGCGCAGCCCGGCCCCAGTGTGCGCACTCTCGATCTGCTTGGCCACAGCTCCCCCTCCTCAGCCCTTGCTCCTGGTTTGCTTTACTTCCCCTGCCTCCTCTGACATTCGGCTCGCACATGGGTGCATCACCTCCTCAAAGCCCACCTCTCCTGTCCAACGGAGCGGGAGACATAACAAGAATTGCACATCTTTCTAAATGATGTTCAAAATGAATAACAACAAAGTAATGAGTACTCTGCCAGTTCTCCTGTAGCTTTGACAATATACAGAATACAAAGCTTTTACTAGGTTCAGGCTCTTCTCAGTAGGGATTTTTAACCATTCTTTCATGCACAACTCCTGCTCCTTAGAACTGTAGTTCAAAATGTGTGCTTGTGAAATACATTCTTTAGTTCATACCACAAATGTTCTAATAAAGTACGTAGATTTTATGCTTCCTTTTTAATTTGGTAATTCCTCTGGAGGTGAGTTGTGTTCCTGCAGGTTGTTATTTGTAACCAGATTTGAGCTTCCTGAGAGAAAAATCTAGTTTGGCAAAAATACCTGTGTTACAAAAAGAGACCTTTACAAGAGTTATTTGTTACAGTTAGAAATAAATTGTGCAATGGATCTTTTTAGAGCTAATTGTGACAGGCAGTCAGCTAATCACCACCTGAGAGGACACATCTGTTGGTGGTTATGGCGTTGATATCGAACAGCTGCTCCTCTCTATAAAGATGTGCTCTCCCATCAATACATAGTATCTGTGGAAGCTGGGTAAGGCTAGAGATGTCACACAGGGGAGCCCCTGACTGTCAGAGACATTGACTGAACCTCTTGATCCGAATGAGCCTTAAGGAAGAACAATTTTGTGAATGCAGCCTGAACAACTGAGGACTGTCCAGAACAGCTTTTTTGGAGATTTTTTTAGTCTATTTAAAGCAATAAAGGGTGTGGCTACCTTGTGGATGCATTCTAAACCTACCCCACTGAACTGGCTTTTCTCCAGCCTGTAACAGTAATGTATTACTTTACGTGGCAAAATACATAAACTACATAGATCGGTGTTATTCAAAATTGTTTTCCCCAATTTCTTATTTTAAAAGTAATCCCTTATAAAAGTAACTTCCAACTATAATAAATTACTTTGAAAACTAGCGTTTCCCGGCAATGATCAATTTTAACTTAGACAAGAGGGACCAGAGGATGCAAAACATCCCCAAAGCAATCAGATCCATTTCTATTCTTCACTGAAGAAACATGAGTATTACTGTTCTATGCTAAGCTTGCTTTTGGTGTGACTGTACAAAAACTGAGTTTGTGTTTCAAACTGAATAATTGAGTTTTCAACGTGCAATATGATGTCGTCCCACTGGTCTTCAGAGATAGTTCAGAATCCGCCTGTTTATTCTTATTTATACAGCCATGGAACTTTGCAAGCAACCTCAGATTAAAGAAGACAACTTCAAATAATAGTCTTGAAGACACTGTATCCTGCTGAATTTTACCCTTGGGTTTTGGTTATCCTCCTATACCACTTATAAGACTACACATTTGAGCAACTCTTTTTATGTTCTCCTCCCAGTAGAGTAGAAAATATCCCTTTAGCATTGAACATCATAGTGACTTCACAGTCAGAAGTGGGATGTTTAAAGAGTTTTATAGCCATCACTACGGTTGGAGAGGTTGTTAATCTTTTACATCTTTAAACAAGTCTGACTTTCCCCATGATAAAGTGGTGCTGGCTATTTTACTTTACGTACCTCCTTTAATGCCCAGTGGTTATCAAGGTGACTGTCAGAAGCTTCTTTAATGCTTCTTTAGTTTTATGAACATACTGGCTAATTAAAATATATTTTAGGATAACTTTATAACAGATATTTCCAACAAATATACTGTATTTAGGATTCAAATATATTTGAACATTGTTATTTTAGAAAGTTATGCAATTATTTTGAAAAGATACAACTTTGTTACATCCAGTAGTATGTACTGTATATATAATGTAATACACACATTGTGATGTTTTTGAATATGCATATACACTGAATGAACATGTAATTTTTTGCTAAAATCACATTTTAGTTCAAAATCAAGCATGTGGCTAAATTTGGAGACATCTGGTGGTATCAAAATTCAACTCTGGGCAGAGACATTATCTGGCAAATTAAATTGAACATGGATAAATGTAAGGTAATATACTGTACGAAGGAAGCAAGAACGTACATTTCAAATATCAAACTGGTGGTACTGAGCCAGAATCAGCAAAATATAGTAAGAACTAGACCGAGGCATTTATGTTAACTTTTAACCTTTTTCCATTAGACTCTTTATATCTACTGTACAATGTGTTAGTTAGACCTTGCTCTAAATATTGTCTTTACTATATCACAAAAAAGATACTGCTGCTCTAAAGGCTTACAAAAAAAGCTACTTGTTCTTTGGTGTTAGGGGAATTTAATACACAGAAAGATTACAAGAAATGAATGTTATTAGCCTGGGACAGAAACTGCATAGGAACTTCATTCAGAATACTTTGACTATGTGAACTCAGGTGACCTCTTCAAATCAGCAGCAATACGTGGACTGGAGAAATAATAGGAAAGTTTAAGGCCTTTCAAGATGGGAAAATTCAAAGCTATGTTTTTACCTGGAGGGTTGTGGGAGTTTGGAAGCAATTCGTTAGTCAATAGCTGAAGCTGCTTGTATACTTTAGTATAGAATTGTTCTCTTATATATATATTTTTAAATGGAATAAAAAGTATCAATGCAGTGGTGGACATTAATTACACAATAACTGAGGACTTATATCAAGATGCTACAATCCAAGGTAAAAGTATTGAATCATAAATAAATTTACAAAAGCAAGTGCAAAAACAGTAAAACTCTTTGTGACACAAAATGTCTTTGCACAATCACTACAGGAAGAAAGCATAACATGTTCATTTTTGCATGCTAGCATTCAATTTTACACTTTACCTCATTAACAAGAATACAGTAAATCCCCTTTAACATTAACATTAATGTAGATTGTTATCTTGTGTAGATTAATGGGTTCATCTACACAACTCTCCCATAAAGCTTTTTTTCCGTTCATTTAAAATTACTTAGAACAATTGTCATTGTCTTTACAAGTCATGTAGCTTTACTTTTCAAAGACTTCAATAACATACACTATCCTACAAAGGAACTGGGACAGTGAGGCCTAATAATAATCTTTTCTTTGAAAAATGACTACTAATTGTAACTTCTACGTCACGTCCCACTGCAGCCAGGGGTGACCAGCATGTTTGCCCAGGGGCTCAGCCTTCCAACAGTTGGGCTGCCACACAGTTAGACCAGCTGTGTTGTTGGGTAGTCAATCCACCTGTCATTCACCTAATTAAGCAGGACTCTCCAATAGATGGGAGACATTGAGCTCCTACTGCTGCAGGGCTACTGTTTACACTTGTCTAAAAAAAAGACAACTCTTCTTCAATTGAACAATTCGCAATTGAACAAGCCCCCCAGTGGAGACTCGCCTATCCCTAAAACCACTTCTGGTATTCGACCTTCTGCCATCCCTGCTAGTCCCGCTGTTCGTATCCTCTCGACATTCTCTCTCTTTAAGTAGACCCTGTGGCCTACTGTTTCAGACAGATCCTATCTACTGCAGGTCTTCCTGCCCTTTTCCCTGCAGACAGTCCTCATCCTGTGAACTGCAGCCTTCAATCGCTAAATTTCAAACAAAGAATTTATTCTATATTTGGTCTATGTATAATAGTGTTCATAACAGATGTTCAGTTGGATGGTTAGATCCTAATCTCACACTCTTCTTCTCGCCTTCTGCAGTCTTATATACAGTAAGTCTCGCTCCCAGATATTCCCATAGCACATGTGCCTGATCTACTGAAACTGAACATCCTGTGAATTAGTATTTTCTTACTATGACATTTAAGCCAGCAAAAACTTAGAAAATAAATAATAATAATAATAATAATATTGCTTACACTTATATAGCTCTTTTCTGGACACTCCACTCAAAGCGCTTTACAGGTAATGGGGACTCCCCTCCACCACCACCAATGTGCAGCCCCACCTGGATGATGCGACGGCAGCCATAGAGCGCCAGAACGCTCACCACACACCAGCTCTCAGTGGGGAGGAGAGCAGAGTGATAAAGCCAGTTCAGAGATGGGGATTATTAGGAGGCCATGATTGGTAAGGGCCAATGGGAAATTTGGCCAGGGTTACACCCCTACTCTTTTCGAGAAACGCCCTGGAATTTTTAATGACCGCAGAGAGTCAGGACCTCAGTTTTACATCTCATCCGAAGGACGGCGCCTGTTTACAGTATAGTGTCCCCGTCACTATACTGGGGCATTAGGACCCACATGGACCGCAGGGTAAGCGCCC